CTGATTTAAAATTTGACAGTAAAGATATGCATATATTGTATGATAGTTCCCTTAATAGATGTTTTGTAGTGCATAATATAGTTCTCTGGTGTCTTCAGCCTGGACATAGTTAAGCATTAATGTTTTTGCTAACCTATTTTTGTACTTCATCTTCAGACATCTGTTGTAGTTACCTTGTATTGTTATTAAATTCTTAAATAAAAATTATAAATTAAAAAAGAGAGACCGGATTTATACCCCGCCCTTCACTCAGGAGTCTCAGAGTGGCTTTACAATCCCCTTCCCCTTCCCACAACAGACACCCTATGAGGGAGGTGAGGCTGAGAGAGCTCTGAGAGAAACTGCTCTTTTCCAAGAACAGCCCTTATCAGAACTACGGCTTGCCCAAGGTCATCCAGCAGGTGCAAGCGGAGGAGTGGGGGAATCAAACCCGGTTCTCCCAGATTAGAGTCCATGCAATTAACCACTACACCAACCGGCGTCCAGGGTCCCTACACAGAGGTTGTTGTCGTTCAGTCGCACAGTCGAGTCCGACCCCATGGACCAGATCCCGCCAGGCCCTCCTGTCTTCCGCCGTCCTCTGAGGTTTGCTCAGTTTCACAGAGGCAGGCAATGGCAAACCACCTCTGAACATCTCTTGCCTTGACCTGGATGGCTCAGGCTAGCCTGAGCTCATCAGATCTTGGAAGCTAAGCAGGGTCCGCCCTGGTTAGTCATTGGATGGGAGACCATCAGGGAAGTCCAGGGTTGCTATGCACAGGCAAGGGCAAACCACCCTACGGGGTCACCATAAGTTGGCTATGACTTTATAACTTTATTTAAAACATCACTCTGTAAATGTAGTGATGTAAGATGGCCCCATCTACAGGAGCCACAAGTGCAGTACTAATCAGGGTTTGGGGGGGGCCTGGAGGGCCACGCACTTGCTCCGGACTGGCCAGCCAGGAGGTGATGCTACCTGCACCTTCCAAGAGGAAGACGATGGTACAGCACGCTATTCCAGCAGCCCTCTGTTGGATGCTCTGCAGAAATAACCCATACATGTGGGGAGTTCCGGAAAACTAGCGACAGCGTCAAGTAATTTTACTTTCACTGACATGATCCTCTGGACCTTGAACAACAAGTTAACGGTCTCCAGAAATATCTAAAACCAATCGCACTTAAGCGCGGTACTGTTCACTGAGATATCACACAGTTTCCCACTTCGGTTACCAGCGTCCCCTGTAAGTTACCACCATCCCCACCACCACAATTGTTTATTTTTATTCTATGGCATTATTTTCGATTTTTACCTCTGGGCTTCTTGGCACGGGTCTTTTCGCCACCGGGGGGATAATCTGAGGCATGGATATCAGAGCCTCGGGAAGGTAAAGAGGAAGAGACTGCGGGTCCCATAAGGGCTCAGCGCTGCTCACTAAGAACTGCTCCAGCTGCTCATCAAACCTACATTTAAGAAATGTGAAAGGCAAGAAAATTTGCACTTATCATCCTGACGCGACCATATGATGCTTGCTTTCTCTTTACAACATTAAGAAGAAGAAGAAGAGATTGGATTTATACCCCGCCCTTCACTCGGAGTCTCAGAGCGGCTAAACTGTGAGCTAGCTCACACTAACTCAGATTAGAGTTAGTGAGGTAGGTGGGGCTGAGCGAACTCTGACACAAACTGCTCTTTCAAGGACAACTCTGACAGAACTACAGCTTGTCCCAAGGTCAACCAGCCAGGTGCAAGTGAAGGAGTGGGGAATCAAACCTGGTTCTCCCAGATTAGTCTGCGCGCTTAACCACTACACCAAACTGGCTCTGATGTTAAGCATCCTGTTAAAACTTGAAATGTACCCTTTGGGGGCGGGGGGACAGGCTAAATAGGCCAGCCTAGCCCGATCTCATAAGAATTTGGAAGCCAAGCAGGATCAGCCCTGGTTACTACTTGAATGGGAGACCACCAAGAAATACTGGGATTACTATTTATTTATTTTTTAGATTTGTATCCTGCCCCCCTAATGGCTCAGGGCGGCTAACATGCGGCAGAGCCGAATTCAATAGATAAAATACAATAAAATAAGCAACATTTAAAACCACAACAAAACCCAAACAATAATCAAGGTGCTCTGATCTTCCTATGTAGGTCATCCAAGTTGGGAAACAATAAACCCAGTTCGGCAGCCAGCTGTCTCAACAGCACTGTCTCCCATGGCGCTGTTCTATACGCTTCTGCCAGGCGATGCTTGCGCCCCATGATAGAGGAAGACGATGAAGCACTACCACGATGGTGGGATAGTGGCGCCGGTGGCTCCTACTCAAAAGCCTGGCGGAGCTCCTTGCATTGGCAATCCACCTATGCTCATCTCTTGCCCTGAAAACCCAAAATGGGGTTTTCCCATCTGCATGCACTCCCAGGTAACAGCTGCCTTTCAACACTAGTACCCCAGTCACCGGACACCAATCCCTTACCTCCTGCTCTCAGATTTTTCCAGCTGCAGCTTGGCAGACAGGCACTCGGGGAGACGATCCAGATGTGAGATGGTCAGCGTAAGATCTGCGGCAGAGGGAACACGCGGTTCCTCGTCACTCGGGTTTCTCACACTGGCATCATGTTTTGCTGGAGAAAGTGAGTGAAAACAGGGCTGCGGGAGAACCTGAGTCTTTATCACAGACCTGGAGGGCGAGAAATAACGAGAAAAAGGCATCGTTGTCCCGTGTGCAGGAAAACTGGGTCGTATAACTGGCTGTTTTGCCAAAAGTACCAACCATAAACCCTACAAACAGTGGAAGAGCCTGGCTGGGTGAGACTGAGGGTGCATCTATCCAACACAGTATCCGACAGAGGACAGCTGGATGCTCGTGGGAAGGCCACTAGCAGGGCATGAAGATGATGTCCATCTCCTACTGTTTGCCCCCAGTAGCTGGGACTCAGATGCATGCGCCAGACATTTACTTTATCATAGTTTATCCTAGAGAATGTCACAAAACCATACTGGCCAAACTTCCAAAAATTTGGCCAAGCCAGCTCGCTCCATTTCATCTACAGGCCCAAAGACTTCTGCCTTGACTGGCGAGAAACCCTGTTTGCTACTGCGCAAAGACGGAATTCCCTTTGTACCGTACACCTTGAATACATCCAGGGCTCTTTTTGTAGCAGGAACTCCTTTGCATATTAGGCCACACACCCCTATTGTAGCCAATCCTCCAAAAGCTTACAGAGCTCTTCTTACAGGGGCTACTGTAAGCTCTTGGAGGATTGGCTACATTAGGGGTGCGTCAGTCAGGGCTCTTTTTGTAGCAGGAACTCCTTTGCATATTAGGCCACACACCCCTAATGTAGCCAATCCTCCAAGAGCTTACAGAGCTCTTCTTACAGGGAGCTACTGTAAGCTCTTGGAGGATTGGCTGCATTAGGGGTGTGTCGCTTAATATGCAAAGGAGTACCTGCTACACCTAACAATAAGGGTGGGGGCACAGCTCTCCAAAGCTAGCAGAGTCCAAGGGAGGGAAAGGCGGTGAACAAGAGTTGTTGGAATGGCTCGTATGGAAGAAGACAAAGAGGAGGAGGAGTTGGATTTATACCCCGCCCTTCACTCGGAGTCTTGGAGCAGCCGACGGTCTCCTGCCTTTCCCCTCCCCACAACAGACACCCTGGGAGGTAGGTGGGGCTGAGAGAGCTCCGAGAGAACTGTGTGTGTTCCCAGTTGCCAGGGAAGTGCACAGGCACATGAGTATAGATGCTGTTTTATGTCCCTGTTAAGGATCATCTGCGGGTAAGCACAAAGGGGAGAACGAATTTCATCCCCCAACCTTTGCCATTGTCCATCCAAGTATTCTGCTGCCAAGAAGAGGCTGGTTGTAATAATGGGGGATGCTTGCCTTTGTGCTCCTCTCGCACCTTCCCCACCTAACAGGAACAGTCCACTCAAATTCTACCTGTGATTTAAAATAAACTGGAGCAGGGCCAATAAGAGCCTCTTGCGTCAGAGGAGAGCTGTGCCCATTAGTGAAACAGACCCAGGGGAACTAACCTGACAGATGTCACGAAACAGCAAACAAAATCTCACCTTCCTTGACTTTGCTGGACCTCTTTCTGAGTTTTCAGTCGCGCTTCTTCCCATGAGGAGGGACGGACAAATGTTCTCAAGTGCTCCTTTACAAAATACACGTGCACCTGCCCATCTTTGCTCACGGCTTCTGTAGATGCAAGACACCCCCCCCCCAAAAAAAGAAACAAGATTGAATCAAAAGAAGCAGCACAGATCCTTACTGTTTCAAGTGAAATAGTACGTACGCTCCAGTGTCATGGAATGCAATTACTGACTGTGCGGCTGAACAAGAGTAAAAAATTCACTGCCACAGGAGGTGGTG